CCCCCCCCTCCTTAAAGAGGAGAGAGTAGCCCATGTGTTCCTGTTAAATGAACAACTCCTGCCAGGCAGGCTGCATTGTCCTGCAAGGCGACTGAGAGAAACCAACTTTGGAGAGCAGAGCTCCTGTGGTTCCCCAAGCCCAGGTTATCAAAGTATATGCATACTGAGGAAGACTAGAAATAACTGTAGAGTCTGCACAGACAGTCCATTTTTATCTGCAGTGCCTGACCCTCTACCCAGAAAGATCCAGCAAGTGTTCCCGGATATACTGTGCATGAATAGAAAAACAAAAGATCCTGAAATCAGCAACACTGAATTAGAGAAAGCATGATGGGTTCCCTCTTCCAACTGTTTCAAAGCTTGGAAAATGTTTTTACTTCTCAACAGAAGGATGTAAACAAATGTCATCTCACCCTCCCTCTCCAGCTGCAAAATGGTTTTGGCAGGACCTTCCCTACTCCCCCAACCCTTGCAAGTGTGTGAGCTATTTGTACAATTTTTAAGCTGTGAAAATGAGCCAGGGTGGAACGGAAGAGGGAGACACAAAAAGGAAAAAGCTACTGTAGAATTTCTTAACATTTTTTCAGTTACTGTTGAGAGGTAAAAAATGGAATATGAGTCTTATCCATATATGTGTGTGTTATAGCCATTACACTGTGGATACAAGACCGAGTTCTATCAAAGAGAACCTCCCCCACCTAGAGTTAGGCATGCTGTGTACTGTCTGCTCCAGATACTGTCTGCCTAGTGGTGGACAGGCAAGTGGGCAACTCAGGACAGAGCCCAATGGCTTTAACAACATATTCCAAACCCTGATTGTCACAGCAGTTCAAAATCAAGGCATAACACATTTGTCAAGTTTGCAGTCTGTCTGATTCTTTATGCTAATCCCAGGCACATGAAAGTAAAGCAGATGGGGGAAAGGCATTAAAAAAGGCAAATAGCTCCATTAAAGAGTCAAAATAGATTCCAGCATATTGGGCAACTTTAGTGATGAAATGCAATTAAAAGGATACCTTCTACTGGACATGCAGTGTGGCAGAAAGGTTCCTCTTGTCCTAACTGGTAATGGTGTAGTTCACAATCTTTGAAGCTTAGATGAAGAGTCATCCTTTGAAAGATAGTGCAAGAGATCATCTCAACACCTGGAGCCTTATTTTTTTACTGAAGTTTTTGCATGACTTTTTGATTAACTGCTTATCCTGAAATGAACAGAGGAAGCCACAAAAATACTGCAAATGCATCACCAGTTCACTAGCAATTACTTGCCATTTATAAACTTGCTGGTATGGTTATGCTGAGGAACAAAGCACATTGCAGGAATTTTAGTCAACTTAATGTTGTGTCAGTGATACTTCTGCAAAGATGGTTTTTTTGAGCAAGGTATAATAATTCTTTAGACATTTTGAATATTCTCAACTACTAAATTGAGAAAAAGAATACATGGGTCCAAATTTCTTTTTAAAATCTTAAACTACAGAGTTAGTTTGGAAAAAGCTCTCCCTTGCTTCAGCCTCTTTCTGTAGTGTCTTCATGCAGGCAAAACGGCAGGGCTCGTAACAGTTACAAAACCCAGGACACAGTGAAGTTGTAGCCTTGCCTGCTTATATATGGCTTAAATAGCTCCTGTTTCTACTAGCAGAAATATTTGGTAACTAAAGTACAGGTGTGAAGTATTCTGAAGGATATTCTGTCTTAGTTTATGGAAATAGAATTACAGGAGATTGAAAATCACTCTGAAATCCTTCAGTCATGTATGCATAAAGATTAGATTTCTGAAGTGGTTCTTAGAAAAGGTCGTCTGTTACCCTGATTACTTAACAGTGTCTGAGATCTTGTACTTTTCTTGCCATGAAAATATTCAAGTCAGGATTATATAGAAACTTGGAAAGTCATGATCACATGGAAAAACAGTCACCCACTCAGTACACATAATAGCTAGTCATGTTCTGTAAAAGCAGCACTATAGCTTTTTTTTTTAAAAAAAAAGTTCTCACACTCCTATTACAGCTGTGGGGTGGGCTTACCATTAATTTGACAAGGAATTAGATGTGTAAATCCCTTCGGCAATCTAAAAATCTGTTCATTGAGTGAGGAATTGAAGTAACCTTTTTGTCCTCGAATGTGTGTTTAACTAAAATATTCCATCCTAGCTCATTTTACATGACTAATGTTCTGAAAAAAAGGCTGCAATGCTTAAGAAAGAAATAATTCATCCGTTTAAAATGTTAATAGTACCAACAATTAAAATAGTATGTAGCCTATATTCATATTCATCTTCTTTTATTACACTCATCACTATAATATCAAATCCCCCCCCAAAAACCAAAAAAGAACACTTCTTATGTTTTTTTTTTTTTTCTGCACAGAACCTTAATAAGCAAAAGTGTAATGCATTGAGAGTGTTTGGTAGGCCAAACCAGAAGTACTAAGTGTTACTCCATTTTGGCTGGCAGCAATAAACACACGGAGGCTGATTTGTCATCTATTTCCTTATCTAAGATTGTCTCCTTTCCCTTCCCTAGCCAATGGCTACGTGAAACACTTGAATACTCTTCATTCCTGTGAACAAATTCACCTATGGAAGGGATGGTACTGCTTATCAAAAAAGACAATGCATAATGTAAACTGTTCTTTTTTTATGAGGGCTGATTTTTTAAAAAAAGTGAAAAAATGCAACTGGTGTAAGTTATATATTTCCATTTTTGATTTACTATAAATATTTAAAAATATGAACAGAGGCCTGACACATGGGAACATGACTTATAAATAGGAAGCAAAACTGTGCCACACTTACTAATTTCTTGCTTTATTTCATCTTGCAGTCAGTGGATCTGCTGTTGAAGTAAGACACTGGTGTGTGTAAAAGTTGTACAATGTTAATAAAGGAAACTTCATAGGCTTGGCGAGTGTAGAGTGTCTATGCACTCACCTTTCATTACATTTTGTTTACTGCTATAACAAAACAAACCAAGAACATTTCATTAATTTCCCTGAATTTTCCTGAAATATTTGACAGTGAAAAAGCATCAGGGAAATGTATTTCCTTAGTGAAAACAATCCATAGGATTGTTTTCACTATTGGGCAAGTCCTTTTAGGAAAAAAGAGTCAAAACTTGTCCTTTTTTAGAGAGCTTGTTACTTCCCTTTGTTTTGAGAAAAAAGGCCAAGTGTGGCACTGTTGACATTTTCTTTCTTGTTAGATCAGTGCTTTTCAGTAAAACAGTCTCACTGTTGGCATGGAACTGTAAATTTGGAAGATGAAAATGGAGAGGGAAGTACAGTATTAACTCTACACGGCACATTTTGCTTTAGACATCATATGATAATGTTTTGTTTATATCATTCTTTTTGTTTTCAAATTTGTTACTTGACATTAAAAGGAGATAAATATATCCTTCAGCTACAGTGTCCAAGAACTAAGCAGTAATAGTAGTAGAGTAACTCTTCCTTTGCCCTCCTGCTTTCTAAGAGAATAAGGGAATAAGCTGGTGTATGTTATCAGATATGGCAAAGGGAATGCATGTGGCAGTATTGTGCCTAAAAGGAAACAGAATTGATTTGCCTCCTGAAGCAGATCTAGAAGCTGTTAGGCATATGAGGGCAGCATGGTCTTGCTGCCTAAGACTACATCAATTGGAATTCCAGGATCCGTCAGTTAAAGTGGAGAATCCTCACTTGAAAATGAGTAGAAAAGTGAAAAGCTTTACTTCTGTTTCACGGAGGAGATTTTTCTGTAAATAAAACCCCACCTTTTCCCTCTTGCGGGGATCCTTGTGGAGAATGTGCAAACAAACCAAGAACTGAAAGGACAATGTTTACAATCAAGCTTGTATGCTATAGCTCCTGTTTTTTTGAAGCAGTGCTTCTGAGAGTATGTTAGCAGCCTTCCAAATATTGTGAACCATCTGAGCTCTTCTGTCTTCTTTCACAATGTGCTGAGCTCATGAGTTAAATCTTTTGTTGGGCATTCAAAAGGCATGTACCTGGGGCCAAAAATACTCTGACTTCCCCAAATCCTGAATCCTATGTGTGAAATTATTTCCCTTATGGGTTTTAACCCAGTTTTGGAGGCAAAAAATTACAAGTGACCTTTCACGAAATAACCTATGTTTCAGCTTCTTCAAGCTTGTACCTATAAGTCAAATGCCTGGCTCCATATGCTTTATAATACCCCAAAATAGTATTACATATCCAAAGAAAAAAAATCTTACGGCAAGAGAAATAATGAAGTTTTGTCATACTTTGGTAGTTCTGGGCAATGAACTCCTATGTAGGTAACATTTCTCCACTTTTGTAATACTGCAGTCAGTATCAATACACAGGACCTAATGATACCGCTACCTGATTAGAAAGTTATGCATTTCCTTAAAAAAATAATTCAGTATAGCGAAGGTATAGATACAGACCCTCTACGTATACATAATTTTTCAATTGGACTCACTCTAACAATTTCTTCAGATAATAAACAAAATCTATGTGACGATATTCAGGTGAGACAAATGCATGAAGGTATTATAACAGTCTGTTGGCCTATGTGGAATTTCTCAAAGCAAACTTCTATTCAAGGATTTTCTCAAGTACTGGGTTGCAAACCTCCCTTTATCCATTTCATTATATGGGCAAATCCCTAAAAGAACAAAATGCAGGTACAGCATTTCCTTTGAAATTCAGTGATACAAGCTGCTACACATTTTTAACTCTCCCTGACATCAGTGGAAGATAAGGACAAGCTCTTTGTTATATGAGCTATTCTGCCCTGAGAAGATTGCACAACTTTGGCTAACACAATATAAACATAGGTGCTGTGCTGTTAGAAACAGTACTCGATGGTGAGTAGTTCCTTTTTTCTTAATACAGTGGGAGTTGGACAGTTAATTCCTTAAAACCCCTTTGAAAAAAGCCACCCTAAAATGGTAGAAAACTTAGCTGGCAGTTTCACACACAGGCAGTGGTTAATCTGCTATCATATGCTATCAGGTGTTATTTAAAGTCTACAGTGAACAATATTTACCATCAGATTAAGGGCAATGAGGAAAGCATTTCTGAAAACCCTTTCTCACCAAGTTGGGAAATACTAATCTGTGTATTATGAGAGCTCACAGTTTTAACTCCCACAATGAAGTTAAGAACTTTCATTTGCTTTTCTTCCCTTCTCAGAAAAATGTGTCCACTTGCCTGTGGAATTAGAATTAATATTGATGTCAGTAATTTCCTTTGTATAGAGACATGTTTGCATAAATTGATAAGATACTAATGGTTTTGATCTCCACTTATTTTCAACTATATTTTGCAATATAATGCTTCCTTTTTGCATCATTTTCTACATACCTTTGTGAGATCTCTTCTACTGAATTTTTATTATTCTGCTATGTAGGCCAGCTCTGCTATTTCTGCTGTATAAGCATTGCTTCAAATGGGAGCATTGCTCTGATACCATTATCATTTGGTTACTGTCTTCTGACCTTTCACAGTATCAACAGAGTATTCTGTAACATGTTGATCACAACTGTAACTAATATTTTAATAACATAATGCTAGCCATAAACACAATGAAACATCAGTATCGTTCAGCTGTGTACCAAAGCAATCTTCCTGCAATCTGAAATCAAGATCCAGCTCAGGATTCCTCTCTATCTGTAACTTAAGTGACGCTACAGTTAAATATTTAAAAGTACAGTGCTTCTTGATCAAGAAATCATCATGTCACAGTGGAGGAGCTAGATGGCACTTGCCATGGGTTTCACCAGTGAATGTGCTTGTTTTTCTTCATTTATTAGTTCATAATCCAGTCTTTCTTGATGCAGTATCTGGGACACGGTATATAATTTTGCAGAAAATTAAACTAAACTGGGCACAGTGCCCAGAAAATGCATCAATTCCCTTAAAAAAAATACCTTTAGGGGTCTAAAAATTAAAACTAGTAAAACCAAAAGGAGGCAAGTAATGGGCAGTGATGCATTGACCTGAATAGAAAAGACTTGTGTTGAACCCTGAAGACACTGGTAACACATACCATAGCTTTCCTTTGCCTAAGGTAACAGCTTCTGCAGGTGGGCCAATTATTTTGTATGGCACAGTAGGCCAGCAGGTAGCTATATGGCATACGCCTAAGGGCTAATCCTGCTCCTACAGAAGTCAGCGGTAAAACTCCGTATCCTAGAAGCACAGACAGAGTTAGATGTTGCCATGCTGAGAGTTTCAGCGCTTAAAACTTAGTCGCTAACTCTGGATCCACAAGGCTGATACAGGTGTGTGTGCTTATCTCTATGTCTAAGAACGGACTTAGACTCAGCAGGACACTTGGTAGTGAAACTAGTCCTTAGAAAATACACCAGAGTCGGATGAATCTCTCTCTCTCTCAGATATAGTTACTGCCTGCAGCTCTGCAGAAAAAGTCCACAACCAGCAGCAGGTCGGGCCTGGCCTAACTGTTAGGAATCCTTTTGCTTACTCCCTCTTTGCTAGCATAAAGCTTTCATCCTGTTTCTGGACTGGCTTCAAAGCATCAAGGAGTGTTCCTGTGCAAGCTCGGCTCCATCTTAATGACTAGGACACTCATACAAGTTAGAAAAGACATTTCTGATCTCCCCTTCTGGATGGGAAAAGCTTAAATCCCTGATCATGAAGAGTGCCACACCTACTGGATTTCTACATGAAAATCAGGTGACCTTTCAACATTGGTGACATTTTTGAATGAAAATGACCAAGTCCACTGCATTGTGTGGTGCTCTGTGCAAATGCATATGTGAGAATTTCTTTTGACAGGCCCCGCTGGTAATCTGTGTGTGAAAATAACTAGTTTGTGAAAGCTATAGACAGGGGCTGGGTGCTGAGGTGCTCAGCTTAACCAAGATGGCAATGTTAGTGAGCACATACAACGGCAGAACTCCACAAGTGTCAACAAGCTTAAATTATGTTCCTACAAAGCCAACACAGCTGAAGAATTTAATGTGCTTTTGTGTATTACTGCTAGCACACTGTCTAAGACAACCTAAAAAGAGCCTTAGGTGCAAAGTCTCACAATGAATCTGATTTCCTGATTTTGCTGTGAATGGAGCTGGTTTCTCCAGCAGACATGATGATGGACTGCATCTCAAACTACAAAAAACCTTGGCATATATTGGTAATGCCTTACAGACTGTACAACAGGTTCATTCTGATTTTGTTTGGTTTTCAGGGCTCTTGCTGATGTTATGCGACCTCAAGGTCCTTGTACAACAGATCATATGGAAAGAGATCTAAACATTGTAGTACATGTGCAACATTATGAAAACATGGAGACGAGACCTCCAAATAATTTACGTAAGTTGCATTATAACTTTATCAGTATCTGGAATGCTGGCACTAAAATGAGCATTATGAAACAAATATTGCTGGATGTCAAATGAGGATTGACAGTACATGGGTTCTTGCAAACTAGAAATATTCTTTATTTCAGAATTACAAATGTTTAGGATATCCTAGTGCAAATAGTGTAACGCTAAGAGAAAGACATTTTGAATAGAAGAATTAGTTATTATATTTATTTTTAATTAGTTGTCTTGGTTGACTAATACTTGTTTTGTATCTTTGTCTCCTTCTACCTGGTGTTTTTGTTCAGCTCATCAAGCTATGCCTTATTTTATGTTTTGTTATACCAAAATATACAAATAGTTACGCATACAGCAAGATTTAACAAGTTGTTTCATAGGTCTGTATCACCCAATAAGAAAGCGGTCTCATTAGGCTGTTACATCATATCCACTAGTAAAATAGTTAAATACTTTCCTGGAGAGCACAAAGTTGTATGTGGTTTTCACTTTCTCATACTTTTGTTCTTTCTAAGGGAAATGCAAGAGGAAGATTATTATTTTAAGTTTTAAATAATATTTTTATTCTGTCTCTGCTATTAGATGTTTATGTTATTGAAGGCAAGGAAAAAGTGCACCTTGGAGCTTCAGAGGAAATACGGTGACATTTGAAGTGGTTCTGAAGTCCTAGGCAGCTTATTTCTCAGTCTTGTATTAGAGTACAGTACAGATCTTTCTCATGCTCAGATATAATTTCCTTTTGTGATTAACAGTTCCACTGCAATTTGAATTTGGATATATATATGTATTTTATATTAATCTATATCTTAAATATGTATGTATATATGCATACAAATTATAGATACTATACTTACAAATTCAAGTTCAATATATTTATAAAAAAAGGGTGTAATTCAGGAAGGTTTAGCTTGTTAGGCAGTGGATAGCTTTATTCGGTGCTGTAGATCAATGCAGATGTGCATTTTACTGTAAATATACTTTTACTGCACTAGTATTTGGATTTTGAAACATTTTAAGTATATGCACCACTCTTTTCCTTATCTTTCTGTAACAGCAGAAAGCAGAAAATTTGTTTATATTCGGACAAAGAATGAGTTTTATTTGGACTGCCCTGTGTAGTTATTGTGAGATTTTTACTGCTTTCTTTTTGGGGAAGGGTGTAGAAACAATGGGAGAAAGAGCAGATTCATATGCTGCATGCACCCCTGATACTTGTTTTGTGGTAGAGGCTGACTGCGATTTCTTATGCGCATGGTTACAGAGTAATAGGAGAGAATTAAAGCTGTGACCTCTAATAAAGATACCACATATAGTGAAGTGTGACATCTAATCTGTCTGCACTGCTCTCCAGCAAAGTACTTCCACCTGGGCCTGTGCAGTTCTACACTGCAGAGGGGGAAGTACATACATACTGCAGCGTTACATCCCTAATGGTATAAAAACACACCACTTCTGGAGGGGAACTTCTCTCTCAATTGCTTCTCTCTCAATCAAAGGTCCTCTAGCCCCCTGGAGCTGAACCTTGAGGACACTGGTGAACTTCTGAAGGTTTAAGGAGGATAGGAATATGCACTATCTCTCTCTTTGCTCTGAGTATAAGCTCTTTGCTGATCTCTGATCCTTTCTGTGACCATGTTTTCAAGAAGAAATATGCCAAATGGTAATGAAGTTAGGATACCATCCCTTTTTTCTCTTATGTGGGATATGTTTACTGAGAATCCCAGTAAATGAAGGAGCCAGAAAGTAAAGAGATCCTTACTGCGCCGATTGTATCAAGATTTTTGTAATCATCACACTGAGATATTTTGCTTAAAACTCTTTGTATACTACAATGTACGCATAACACAGCAGGTCTTTAAACTCATTGTTTCTTGGATTTAAATTCAGATTTAAGCCTTGCTTCTGTAAACTCTTGCATATAAATACAACTCAGAGCTACATAGTTACTGCATCAAGGAAGAAGAAGATACATTTAATAGTACCTTAGGATGTTGGGTTATGACGCCCACAGGCATCTGTACCACTTCTATCTCAGAATTTGGCCCTCTGGTACTGATGGAAGAATTATATGTGAAACAGCTCTTGCACCACTGCAATTTACAACATAGAAGCACTACTGCTACTTTGGAGCTTAGTCCGTTGGGTAATGAATAGGAGCAGTCCCAAGAAGCCAGCAGCTACGATGGTAACTGTTTCAGTCCTTAATCAACTTTATGGATTAAGTCAATCATTTTAGTTTGTTCAATGCAGACCTTCAAGTGGTAAAATGACTCAAGGCGTTCTATAACCAGTATTACATACATTTACTTCATAGCAAGTAGATCATTATTCTATATTTGTTGCCATTATATTCCCTCATAAACCCATCTAAAACATCACTAAATAACCTACTAGAATTAGCCAGTCTCACAAATGATTAAAGTCTGTTGAGAGCATGTGTATTTATGGTGCAGAAAAAAACTTTATAATGAAAATTATTAAGACAAATTTTCCAAGTCCAGTATCTTAGCAATTGGAAATGTTATAGTGGAGTGCTGAAACACTACAAGAATGGATATTACTTGCAGAAACTTTGGCAGTGCAGCGTTACCTTCTACTAATGCTGGAAAAGTGACAGGCTTTTTTGGATATTTTTACAAGCAAATAAACCAGAGTGAATTATGGCTTTCATAGAAATTCTATTCTAGAGCTTTACCTATACAGAGAAAATGAAATGGTAGAGAATTGTAGCATCAGACACTTTGATACGTATTTTTTTAAGTTTTCTAAGTTAACCACCTTCTATCTACTAGCCATCTCAAAATGAGACTTAAAAACTTGAGACTGAGGTACTTTTCACATAGATCCATAGATATGAAGAGGGCAGGAGGAATTTCTTAGGCATTATGTACCCCGTCCGTATTGTGTCTTTCAGAATACTGAACACAAACTATTTAAGGCCAAACATTAAAAATATTCTAATCTGAATGTTCATTTACTCTTTCTGCTCTCTTGAAAAACATTTTGCTGATGCTGGCAGCCCATTCTGAAAGTGTTTTATGAAGCGAAGTTCTGTAAAAATGACAAACTTTGCATGATCTTTGACACTGAAAATGAGTGTGTTTTTGTTTCTGGACTGTTTGTTACCAGAGGACAAAGATTTTCTAAGTTGCCTGCAGCTAGCACAGCTATTTGCCAAAACTAGCATTCCAATGGAAGGCCAAAAGTAGAGATGTCTTTTCAGCGTCTTGGAGTTTACTTGGTTTGTTTTCTGATATTCAGAAAGGAAAAGCCACATTGGAGGTTTGGAAAAACACGTTTTGTTTTTTTTTTTCTTTGCCCATGTGAATCTAGACAACCTAGATGCTTTTTAGTAAAAGCTTTTTTGTCCTTAGTGGTTGTTAGTTGTCATAATTTTCTTCCAGTACTGTGCTTTACTCTTCTGTTATTTCCTTTCATACATTAGAATGTAGTGGTGCTTTGTAAACAAGCAGCAGATATCTACCAAGAATCATAGCATCCAAGTTTTCTAACATGGAATATTAAATAAAATGAAATGAGAAAAAAAAAAAGAGGACATTTAAAAGTTATATTAAAAACATAAAGCCAAATGGTAACCTTCCTGCAGAATTTGTGTTCTTTTGTTCATCTCTGACTTTCGTGAATCTTAAGAAAGCAGCAGTATTCAAGATTTTCTTTTTTTTTCTTCTTTTTTTCTTTCTACTTATTGTGTTAGAAGTAAGCAATTTATTTAACTCGTAGGGATCATAGCACTGGTGCAGTGGGAGTCGGAAGGCTTTGTAGATACATCCTCATTTCCAAAACTTGATTACGGCTATTATTTCTAAATCATAACCTATGACAGCAGAGTGAAACAAATACTTAAGTTAGTGCTATCTGCAGACACTTTTCCTAATGATCAGTAAAAGCTCTGTTACTCTCTCCTCAATAATAACTAGCCTTGCACTAGTACATTTAAAGCACTTATGTAGACTCCTAAGATAAAGGTGACTTTAAAGGGAAGCCAATTCTAGATTATGGAGGTTTTGAGATGAAAAATGCTAGCTTTTAGTTAGTTTGACATGTATGGGTTATTTCTTCATTTTGAATTTAACATTAAAAAAAGTGAATTGTAAACACACCAGTGAAAGAAGGAAGTTGGACTAGATGATCTCCAGAGGTCCCTTCCAACCCTAACAATTCTGTGAATTCTGTGAATTCTGTGAAGTGTTGCACTGTATCAAAGGGCCAATTTTAATAATGGCCAAGGATTTGCAGCACATGTGATTAAAATTATGTTTTCTCTTCTTAAATATATGCAAGGGAATAATGTGTTTGCTGCTGCATTTGATTGTCAGTTGTCCTGGATACTTACCGACTACAAATCCTAATGACGAAAACAAAGCTAAGACATTTCTGTAACTGGTGCCTTATGATAAGTTAACTTTTGTTATTTCTTTGTTTTTGTGTTAAGACAGTAAGCATTTAAATAGGAGGGTATTTTTTGAAGTTCTTGCATATCAGAGTAAGCGTTGTGTATTGTGTTTTCCTGTGCTTTCCCCCATTTCTGTAAATATAAGCTCAGCCTCTGTTTTCCGGTGAGAGAAACTGTCACTAGTTTGACACTGTGGAAATACAATTAGAATTTGCAAGAATTTTTTGCAGTCTCGTGAATATGCTTGTTGTTGTTGTTGTTGAATACAGTGGTCTTTGGAAAACTAATTATTTTTATGTTTAACATACATAAACATGTTTATATCAGACGATTCATTGTATCACATTGCCTAAGCCTAATTCCTACTGTTGCTTATTGGAAATAAGCATACAGGCATATTATGAAACTTTAGTAAAGAGGAGTACTGTTCTTTGAAATGCAAAGCTCTTGAAGTATATAAAACACGATAACTAATGTACTTACACAGTAACTGTTGTAACTCATGCCAATGAATTGCATAATACTGAAGAAGTGGTCATTGAGAACGTGCATGTATTACTATAACAGTACACTTCTGG